CCCCCTTTCCAGCTCTTTTTTGACCCTTTCTATTTCTTTTTTTTTCATCGTTTTTTGCGCCTTTTTCGTTGTTATCGCTTTATGCTAGAGTAGTTCTATGAATTCCCAGCAATCAACATCTCATGTATTTTGTAAGTAATGATAGAAGTGAAAGAAGGGTAAATGTGGATGTCGATATTTGGAATTCCGTACAGCTGAAATATGGACATCGTAGCATATGCGCAACGTTAGTAGGGGAAAGAACCCGAAAAAAATTTCCTTCCTATGTTGTGTCAATTCTATTAGAGATAGGAGGAGTTGCATTAATTAGCTTACCCAACTGATAAGTTAGTAGTTAATTTTAGTGGTCAATCCCGATGAAAGCATTTCCGTCTCCCCGATGTTATAGCAGCATAGAAAAGCGGAGAACCCCAGCGGATCAAACTGTGGAGCTCATTGAAAGAGATCAAATTTTTGTGGAGCAACTGCCAAACTATCAAGTGATTGTTTCGGTGAACCCTACGATTGAGTACCACCTCAAAGAAGATTGAAAAGATAGAATAGCATTTTTATCTCAAACTTTCTAGAAAAAAAATACGGGATTGAAGGCAGGTAGAAAATTAAAATAGGCACAAGTTTTTCGAGCATGCGCAATGAAAAACAAAAAACAAAATTAAAAATGATTGAACCTCTTTCTCTAATTAATCATATTGAAAGTTTTGTCACTGACTCCTCTGTACTCTAGAGGAAAATTTTCAAAGTGAAATTTTCGCAGTAAAGAAATTCAAAAATTTTTGCAGATCTCAAATCGATAGCAGATAGAATGGTACAAATCGGATACAAAATAACAGTTGCTAAGGACCTTGGCGACATTGAGCGACCTTTCACCGTTATCAGAGGTCTACACTCGTACGTGATGAAAGACGAATATAGTGCAGGACCAGAGGACCTATACGATAGTTGTTCGGTAGGCATTTTTAGTTAAAATCCGACTATAGATTAGATTTATGTCAGTATTATAATTGATAACGATTTCCGCGATTTCCTATAGTGAATGCCAATAACGTCTCAATTCGTTCCCAAGGTGAGCCGAAGCAGTTCAGTAGATCGCCTTAGCCTCAGGACCGAGCGGAATAGCACGTCTTATGAAAAGCCCACGTGACAAATCTGACCATCATTCTATCGAAAATCTTTTTGTTCGTTTTACGTCCCAGATAGCATCGTAGTCCAGCTGTCATCACAGATGTGCAAGNGTTTGTTTCATTGCGTACAACTGGTTACAGTAAGGTGCCTGCGTGCAAGGTGTGTGTTTCGGTGCGTATGATATAACCTCTGTAGACTCTGACCTCTGCACAAGGTCATGAGAACTCGCCCATTTGGGTTTGTACGTCAACTAAGCCGGTATTGGGGCCCTTATTACGCCCTGGGCCATTTTCCGACCCGATAGCCTAGTGGACCTTGTGCAATCATAGAAATATTTTCATCGTGAGCCATGCCCTTTGTTGGGCTTAATATTAAGACTGTACAAAGAACAAGTTACTGTAAATATATTTTTGAGGCATTCCAACATGGATATCCGGCCACACCGTATGATTTCAAAAATCCAGAAGACTTTAAAAAAGTTCTAAGAGAGGTACGATACCCTGCTACATGTATGCTTAACCTATATATAAGGTAATGGGCCACAAAATGCTGCTTCAAAATGTTTCTTTTAGGCTGAAGTCAATATCGTTGCTGTGCCTGGTCAAAAAATCACAACCTCACAAACTCCAAACCTGGAGAAATGTGCAAAGGATACAGATTTTGAACGCTCACGACCGTTGTTCTATTTCAATATCAAGAGGAAGGACGGCTCATTTTTCGAAAAGGTGATATCTGATCTTTTTTCATCCCTACATATTGTCAAGGAAGAATCTCACTATTTTACAACCCAAAACGGAAAACGTTTCCCTTGAGAATGTCAAAAAATCAGTAGCAGCTTTGTTTACGCATTGAGTCAAACTAGGGGCTGAGAAATTCAACACCGCTCGTCAGGATTTTGAATGAAGAGAGGGCAATTTTGATGTGTGTAATTTCCATTCAAATTTACATCCACCTGTCCTGACTGAGATATCACTTTTTAAATCGGCCCTATGCAGGGATATATCAACAACTAATGCCCCCAAACTCTCTTTCTGGGAACCCTGTCCTGCTTAGGCTGAGGTTAGACGCATTCCAGAAGTCTGTCGTTCAATAAAAAACCTCAAATTAATTTGGAAGAAATCGTTCAAATGCGTAAAAACTCTTTCAACTTCTCAGCCGTCTATTATAATCCAGATTTTCAGAGTGCTGCTAACGCCAGTTTCTGGGCAAGACAATTCCCAGACAGAACGTGCGCCGATATGCCCCGAGTGGCATTGGCTTACACTCAAAGAGGACTAATCGACGTTCCAAATAATGCTCGCCTTTTTGTAGTGTGCACGTTCGGTTTGTACCTGAAGTTTAACTTTTCGTAAATGATATCAATATGTGACTATCCCAATTGAAAATGCTAGATCTAGAGGGGGGTGCTCAAACTTACTAGAGGTAAACAAATGCTTTTTGTTCAACTCGAAACTTTCCTAGTCGATAGAAAATAACTAGTTTGGAGTGAATCACGTTGTTCCTGCTTCTGATTTTGAGCACAATATCTGCTTTCATAGTCCGCCGGCCGGCGNGGGGAGGAGGGAGGCAGGCAGATAGGCAAGCAGTCCACGCCCCTTCGAGGGGTTGAAAACAAACAACCTTCGATGGGGCGAGGACTGTTTGCCTTACACTGTCTGCCTCCCTCCTCAACCCTAGCACTGCCTCCGCCGGCACGCCGGCCGGCCGGCGGACTATGAAAGCAGCCAATCTTGTTCCATAAAACCATCAGCTACTCGGATCTCTCCTTGTAGAATTAGTTCTCAGAAGTAGAAAAGTAAAAAAAAAACCGTTTTCTAGAACTTTCTGCTTCGATTCAGTTACACCTCATTTATTTACGAGGATAAGTTTGATATTATTGCTTTTAGGTGCTCCACCCAATGTGAAAGCGGATGAAATGTCTGATGATGATTGTCATCCACTTGCAACATATGATAAAGATTTGCGTCAATGCAAATGTAAAGAAGGGCATGAAGACTTGGCGGACACAAAGATATTTTTAAAGAGAGATACCGATTCTCAGAGGGTGCGAATGGTCTTATCACTTTTTTTTCTTTTTTGAACAATGCAGCGACGTGGAAACCTGTTTCCGTGTTTAGACTTTCTTCGAATAAGCTGCTTCAGAGGCTCCGGATAGATGGAGGTGGTATAATGGCAAGTGGGGTACTATTACATATGTATGGCCACAGGTTCAAATCCCAGATCGATATTCATCTAGGCCAACCATTTCATCCATCCCTCCGGAGCCTGTCAGTTGGTACCAGACCCATGTAGTAGGATAAAAGCGCTGACTTGTATTTACCTTGAGCGGCTACCGCAAGTCATTGTATAGGCCACAAACGCATTCAATACACCACCACGATTCTGAATAGAAGTCAAATGCGTGAATGCATCTATTAGGGGGGTTTAAATGACGACTGGAGCGGAGCCTTCATACTTGATCCCTTAACACTATTGGCTTTTCATTTGGTAGCGCTTCCCGTTCCTCACTGTAAGCTCAGAATGTAGAAATTTCAAGACCTTGTTATGCACGAAAAAGTTCATCATTTGTATTTACGAAATGTTCTTCGATGGAACAGATACATAGGAAACCATATTTACCAATATTTACGATACTTTGCAGGGAATGTATTGCCTCAGATGTGTGTCAAGCACAGAAATTGACGTATTTATGGTAATGGATGTTTTCAAGGGTAGTGAAGGACGAGCCGTACGTTGCATATAATTAAAAAGCTATTCTTCTCTATTCAAAATATTTTTCAACTCTTTTAATTACATCGACACTTTGAACGTTATGGATTGTCGTTTTGTTCGTGTGGTTATCAATCACATATGCATATTACAAACAGTTGATTAGTTGCTTATCTCCGATTCAAAACTAGTTGTTGTTCGTTCATCTAATAATCGTTCTAAATTGATTTCAAATGTGGACGATTTTTGATAATCCTTGAAAAGAGTGCACATTGTAACAATTTGGAAAGATTATGCTCTGGTCATCTTCACTTTGATATCATGGAAAGCGGCCTACAAGCGCTGGCGAAATATGCGAGCTCGAGAAGTCCTAGCTGCCTAAAGGACTACGGAGAGGCTCGACAAGACTGCTGTAGCGAAAGTGTAGGATGAAGTATCGAGGGGCTCACTTACTTGAGGGTAAGTTGTAGCGTTCAGGCTGCCACGCAGGCTTTTCCCTAATCTATCACTGTGACTTAGGGGGAGAAGGAGCATTCCTCTGATTTCTTTGCCTGGCCGAACCTGTAACTGAACGATTGTTGCATAAGCAAGAATAGCCAACTCCTTCTCCTCACCTGCCTTTATACTGTATGACGAACTTATCTCCTGAAATCTAACAACATAGCCGACGCTCGCAAGCTCAAGCATCTTCAAGTTGCATACGGCGATGAGTGACTACTAACAAAAGTGATTACAGTACACCTGAATCAATCACAAGTAACGGTCTTAATCGCCAAAATATGATTATATGAAGTTTCGTCGATTTGTCGACACTCCGCCCGGCTTGAATCCTCGCTCCAATTGTATATCTTGGATCTTCTTTTCCAGCCGCTTTATTCTTACTCCTACTTCACCTCTCAGATCCGGCACGACGCACAGTGGGCGATGATGTCCCTTTTGTGGAGCTAAGTCGTCGATAATCGTCTCACGAGTTTTCTTGCAGTAGTAGCAGTCTCTTGGGCGAAATCTGCACTTGTCTCGGGGGCAGTTGCCCAAACAGCGTTTGCACAATCCCTTTCTACTCACGATTACATTTCGTTCATGCCCGTCTGAGCAAGAATCTGAAAAATGAGGATCTACAGCGTCGCAAGAAGCACAGAGTAGGTGACCCCGCTATTGTCTCCAATGTCTCCATAGGGAAACTTCAGAAGAACTTGTTTCAACTCGAGAGCTTGTTCGTAGAGTTGCATCACTCGTGCAGAGTTGTCGGCGCCTTCTTCTTCTTGTTGGTCATTTGCTCGTCTCGTTGTACTTTTTGAATCATTTTCTCGGAGTAGTCTCGATCAGTTTCCGTCTCCGTCTGCACTCGATCTAGAGGGGCGCTCGAAAACATGGAGTGTGCATCTCTGAGGAAGGCCAGTGAGGTAGGCGAACGTGAAAGGAATACTTGACCGACTCTTGAACAAAGAGCCCCACCGTTGGAACAGCCCACAAATAAAAGCCACGGCTAGCCCCATCACACTCTGAACAGAGTATGGCTGCTTTCATAGTCCGCAGGCAGGCGCGCTGGCGCGCTGGCGCGCAGGCAGGCGCGCAGGCAGTG